CTAGTGACCGAAAACATCTTTGCACCCCCCCCCCCCATCCCTGACCCTCCCGAAAACTCGGTTGCAACGTGATTGATTTACAACACGCAGTTTGCAAGTAAGCTCCGAACACGGTCTTCTGCACGGAAGATGTTCCTCTTGGCGACCTCTTCCCCTGTTTTTCGAGGGGAGCTCTACTGTGGAAAGTTGAAAAGGAAAGACGACACGGCAAGGAAGAAAGTTAGAATGAGTGAAAAGCATTTCACATCGGTCTTTAATGAATGTTGCTGTCGGACAATTTTTATCAAGAAAAATTTACATGTAATAGCATTTTTCTTTACAGTTACTGTGTAACGAGTTACTGCTACAAGTTCATGTAACCCAAAATTAAATAGTTACCGCTAACGCGTTGTTAGCAACTAGTCACTGTCTAAGACTGCTCTTGTGAAAAGCAAATGAAACGGCAACAAAACACGGGCAGTGCAATGACACTGCACTGCGACTCACGTTGGGCGCGGCTGCTTCGGTGTCCCGCGTGTTGTTTCGAACAGCCTGCATCCCTGAAGGCTTGAAATAAAAGAAACGCCTTTACGGCGGATTTTTCGGCGTTAGCCACATACCGCGTTTCCCTATCCACTCCCGGCGTCAGCGCACCCATCTGCCACAGCAGCGAAAGACGAAAGTGTCCTACGTGTTCCCTGTAACTGGGGCCTTCGACTGACCTCTGGACATCGCCTCTGTCCCATAAGAGTACACGTAGAACTTTACTTGCTCGTGATGAAGTGGCAAGATTGAACCGACGCGTTCTTTGTGTGAATGCAATTTTCTCGCCTAATCGCTGCAATCCAGGCTCTTTTTATGCCATCGTCTCACGGAAAACAGAACGTTTTCACTTGGGATAGCACGTTAGCTTCGGATTGCGGATGGCATCCTGGCTGAGCAGTGTCGTAGTCACGAGCGTTTCATCGGAATAATTTCTATCTACAGGAAAAAAAAAAGAAACACAAGAAGCCGCGGCCAGCAAAGCAGGCGGAAACCACACTGAAACGAAGTAAACGGGAAGTTTTCTAGAGCAAGTACCCGGTAAACGCACAATGTTGCCAGAGAACGGTGTGCACTGGCGAAACCGTGTATGGAGTTTGCGCTGTTTTGTGTTTGTTGTTTCATTGTTGGAAGCTTCCATTTTTCTTCAGCAGGGGAAAATAAACAGATCTGGATAAAGCGCAGTTATTTGCTGCGACGGGATGAGCAATAATATGGCAGCTCCGGCGGCATCATCACGTGCACCCTCCATTAATGCCTCTGCCAGCTGTGATAACCAAACGTGTCGGTTCAAAAAGTGGGTTACAAAAAAAAAAATGTTGAATGAATTAGAGAGCAGGAATGGCTGTTAGAAAGCAGCGGGTTCATCTCGCGACAGTATACAATACACACAGAAAACATCCAATCGCTGTCCGGGTGTTTTTATATACCTTCCAGTGCGTGAGTTTTCCATTCTCGAGCACGCGGAAAGAATAAGCCAACCGAAAACAGCGACACATGACGATATTCGCTCTCGCTTTTTCGTCACGTGGCCGACGACTTGAGAGCGGAGCGTTACGCAACGATTGTACGCAACTCTGCGCTCTATTACTTTCAGGTCACGAACGGCGTTTCAGTGTGACGTAGAGTTCCTGACTGGAAAGCCGCCGCACTTATCGAATCAGGGGGACGGTGAAGGAGCGGGCTGCGCATGGAAGCGTCGCGGCTACGGTCCAGCACTTCCATACAGGTGCGTCTTCCAAGTCCTCATAACAAATGCGCAGCGTATACACACGTCAAACGGCAACACGAAGGGTCCGCTTCATGAAGACGTGCTTAATTATTCAGGGGCTGAATTCGCTTAACTAAAATCTTTTTCGTAACTTTGTTTTTCGATTGGTTAGCCTGATTCTCTAATGATATGTCCCGCATCGCGATTGGCTGAAACATTTCCCTACGAAACTCTTTAGCGTGAGATTTATTTGTGAATAAGTTAGGTTAGATTAGGGTTATGAAGGCGGGCTGTAACTGTAGGTGTACACAGGGTTACATGTTTTCCGTCGAGGCGATGCTGAATTATTGTGAGAAAGGACATCACTGAAGAGGCATGCAGTATGCAGTCTGGCTCCGGCGCAGTGGTCTAGTGCATGGCTAAGGTACTCGGCTGCTGACCCGCAGGTCGCGGGATCGAATCCCGGCTGCGGCGGCTGCATTTCCGATGGAGGCGGAAGTCCTGTAGGCCCGTGTGCTCAGATTCGGGTGCACGTTAAAGAACCCCAGGCGGTCAAAATTTCCGGAGCCCTCCACTACGGCTTATCTCACAATCATAACGTGCTTTTGGGATGTTAAACCCCACAAATCAATCAATCAATATGTAGTCTGTATGTTTGATATCGTTGCACTAAATATTGTCAACGCAATGGGAAGAATACAGCTTTCCGTGACTTTCTATGGGCCTTATCTTGCCACGCTCGTTAACATGGCTGCGCGAGACGTGCAGCTAAACTATCTAAACTGGCAGGACTTCTGGATTCCCCCTCTCATTACGTCCTCTACCTCTGTTTCTGTCACCATTCCATTTTTCTGCTTCCCTCAAGTGCCTTGCGATCGTGCTGTGGTTTTGACGCGTAAAGTCCCCTCATTCGTTTTTTTTTTTACATTCAGTTTTGACTCTGGGTCAAATTTCACTGCATTGCAATCAACGAACTCGCGCCCATGTTGGAAAGTTTATCAGCCAATCGGTCAGTGAGTAGAAAATACAAAGAGCTTTAGAATCCTCAGCATTGTATGTATGTGCATGTGCACACAACGTTATTCATTGGTTGTAACAAAACACGCTACCACCACTGCAGGTCCACCACGCACGCGAAAAGAGGCTAGTATAATAGATCCTTATTTAGAAAGTTACGGAAATATGGCACTCAAATATGGTTTACGTTGTTTCGGCACCACTTCTAGCACGTTGTGCTTTCGCCACCCTGCATTCCAGTAAAGGCAACCCAACACCACAAACACGTTTTTTTTTAATGTTTCTGTGTGGTTGTGAAGAGGCTAAAGCACAACGAGTGGGAAAAGAGTGGTGAAATAAAGCCCTCCATTTATTCATTTATTTATTTTCGTAACTTCGAAATAAGATTCTAATATGACGGATAATCGCAACGCATTGGCATTTAAACTTGTACTAAGCGATACGCTCTGCATTATATTCATCAAAATGCCCGCACAGCGAAGAACGCGCATCGCTGTATACCACGCGCACTCGTCTCGCATAGCGTGCTCATGACAAATGGTAGAAGCGGTGGCAGCCAGCTCCGAATCTACTAACCAGCCTAAACTGGTATAGCTGGAAGGCAGAGAAGGTCTCACTGCTTCTGCAGACTGAAGAGACCTCGCAGTTGGGAGCGGACAGGCCGTTTTGGTGAATGTTTATTCTCTCTGTCCGTCAAATGTACTTCCAGAGAATTCTGCCATATGAACTACTGTAATGCTATTGAATTCACTTCATGTGGTTTATTCAAATCAAGCCGCGCTGTGAAATTTCGATTGGTATCACTATTAAAAGTTTTGTGGGGGAACTGCGCTGTTACCCCGAGAATGGCTCTTGGCTCCTCCAAAAGACGAAATGTGTGCAAAATATTTCACTCGGCACAGCAAGGACGGGCGCTTTCCTTCGTGTAGAGTAAAGCGTACGTTTTTTTAGAGCAACTGCAGGAATGTCCGCGCCGTGTGCAAACAACCCATCGGTGCTTACACTGGTCTGTTTCATTTCAGACGGTGCCGTAGCTTGGTGCGGTGTAGTGGTTTGTGTACGCACATGCTGACTGGGTGGTCGTTAGTTCGAATCACGTGCGTCTGTCGGAAATTTTGCGAAGTGTTCTGAATGTGACGCTTTGCGAAGATTTCTGAAGGTGACGCTTGTACATCGATTGTACATCTAATCGAATACCTGCACGCACTTCGAAACGCTGGCTGAGTCAACCAAAATCTGATTACTCTTTTGCGCAATCGAACTGTCGCTCCGAGTAACCACGATAACACCGAGTAACTTCGCAGTTACTCCAAAAGGGGTGTGGCCGGCTAGTTACTCCTCCAAAGGAGCAACCTTGATACCCCCCTTCATCTTTTACTTGCACTCATCGCTATTTGGCTGCCGTACAAGTTTGCGAGGGTAGTCGGAAAGGAAAATTGGTGACTCGATTGTCTCCGTCACTGATGGCAAAACTCGCACTTGGCTTGAGTGTGGCCGTTAAAAGGAAACTAAAAATTCAAACAGCAATGGCTTGCAGCAGCTTGCATGCTGCGCGCGCGCGCGTTTGCACGGAGCAGCGGTACGCCAGCACTCGACCAACGTCGGGGCAACATGGACGCTTTCGCAGCCTCACCCCCCCCCCCTCTCACGCTTGCATAAGGCCCGCAAGTGGTCGTAAATGGGTTACAATTGGCCATCGCCAGCTTCGTATAGGCCACCGGCCTTTTCAGCTAGCCGAAACCGGCTCTTTCACGCATCACGACGCGCGAGGGGTACGCTGACGTCATCGTTGTGTTGGTGGTTGCACTTGGAGATGTGCCGTGTTCGATGCTGGTGGTGGCGGTACGTACCAACAAGTCGAGCAGAACAAAATCGCCGTGCCATCGCATAAAAGGCGACGACGGAACTAATGCATCGCGCGCAATCTCGAACGTGCGCAACTGTTCCAAGACGCCGTTTTCGTCGCCATCCGGAGAAGCGGCTTGCGCCACTGCTTTAGTGCCCCAGAAGAGAGTCATCGCCTTTTTTCCGTTTTACGGCCCCAAAAAAACTGCCCAGCAACGCGGAGAGAAAAGTGACGTGTGTGCTTGTGTGTGTTTGCTTCCGTGTAGCTCTGTCGTCGTTGCTGGTGCCTTTCTATCTATCTCTACATCTCCGAGTGCAAAGAAGCTGCTGTCGCCTACTCATTCGTTCGCGAACGGACTCTTGCTTGTTGTCGTGCGACGGGTGTGCTGTGAAACGTACTTCCCTCGAAGCCCACAGAAGACTGCATCCGAGAGAACGTTTAGCGACTAGCGTTGATTTGTTGCGCCGCCAACGACACGCGTGTGGGCTTCGAACCGCAGTTCGTGTGGCGATATAGAGCTCCGATGGATTCAAGCTCAGAGACAGTACAACAGATACCAGGGATCTGTACGTGTTGAAAAAAAGACGAGGAAATCGCCTTGCTGGCTTCGGTGTCTCGTGTCAGGGATTCCAGGTCGCCGCATTGCAATAGTGTGAGCGTCGTCTCTAGTGCGTCTCCTGGACTGACAAATTTGATTGGACAGAAATCGCGGCACCAGCAGGACGCTGTTCTCGATCAACCATTGCTCCCTGGAAGAATCGTTTCTCGAGCAGGGGTGTACCACCCCTGAGAAGCGATACACCGAGCAGCACTACATCGGAGCGTCAAGCGATTCAACCCTTCACGCCCCGCGGTGCGTTGCCGCACGAGCTCCGAGTTCAGGGTGCCGTTGCCGCCGCCGCCGCTGCCGCATCGTGCGCATCCCTGACCCCTGCACTTCCTCTCTCCGTACTCGAGTTGGTCATGGCTCCGGTGGCTGAAGCGCTTCTTCCGTCTTGGGCCCGCGTCGCTCGCCGTGCGGCTGTCCCTGCAACGTCGGCCACGGTGCGCTTCGTACGTCCCATCATGGGTCCGTGCAGGCCGACTCCGAGTTCGCCGTGGACCGCCGAGAGCCGCGCCTTGTGGGCATCTCTGAGCGGCGGCACGAAGGCCGGCGGCAGCGCAAGGGGCCGTCCCGCTGGGTGAGACATCGAGCCTGTTCAGCCGTCTATATATAGTATAAGGTTTTTAACCTGAGTTCACTGGCAAAGGTGCGCGCCATTCTAGATGCCCGCAGACTTTGCATTAAAAGGGATCTGGGCTTGGCAAGTCCGCGAGCCTCCTATATCTAAACATTTTGTTACCACCAATTTTACTAGGTATGAACATTCTAGTCGTATGTTGATTAGCTCCTTCTTGAAGCAGAAGCTTCATATCAGCGAGCATACATATTGCAGTGGGCTGCAATGTTCCCTGCCAATACTCGTTAAAGACATATCTGGATGCACACAGCTTGTTTCATGGTCTACTTTAATATAAGCACTTGCCTCTCACGATGACAAGTGCTTGCCGTTCTTATACGAAGAAGGATAAAAGAGAAAAAAAAGGCGCCTTACTTCCATTATTAAAAGAAAAGAACACCGTCCGAGTGGCCGATGTGCATTTGAGACTAAAAGCTTTTAGTGGGAAATGTCTGATCGAATGCCCACAATGCGACAAGCAGTGAAATATCGCTCATAGTCATATGGACACCGGACACTTTTTGCAGGTACCACGAGCCCTTTTCTTCATAATAAAAGTGTTTAATCCTGGTTGGGCCCAGATGCATTTGCTTTAGAAGCTCCCAGAGATGTGATCGTATAGATAGTGAATTGGTTAATTCATTAAGAGTAGATAACGTGGTCTAACAGTATATTTGTGTTTACAAGAACAGAAAGTTGAACGACTTTGATCCATGAAGGTACTTAAAAGAGCAAAACACACAGAATACTCAAGAAAGCCAGACAAGTCTAGCGCTCGTCTTGTCCAGTTCTTCTTTCGTATTTTGTGTGTTTTGCGCTTCCAAGTACCTTCATAAGTGCATTTGTGTGCGCATGATATGCACGAGTTGTGTTGTCTCTTGCCAAAATCACGTCCACCCACTTCTCTCTTTTTTTTTATTTTTTTCCACCCAGTAGCTGGTTAACGGGCTTGAACACTGATCCAAAGGTCGTGGGTTCTATCACGGCCGCGGCGGTCGCATTTCAACGAAGGCGAAATGGTAAAGACCCGTGTACTGCGCGATGTCAATGCACATTAAAGAACACTAGAAGTTCCAAAGTTCAGGAGTCCTTCACTGCGGCGTCTCTCACAATCATATCATGGTTTGGGGACGTAAAACCTCGCAAAAATTTACTGTTTTATTGCGATAGTAATTATATGGACACTCTCGGTTCGATTTCGCCGCCGGCGTCATGCACCGTATATATATATATATATATATATATATATATATATATATATATATATATATATATATATATATATATATATATATATATATATATATATATATATATATATATATATGAAAACTCAAGAAAGAAAAGGTTTCAGAAAAAAAGACTCCGGTGCACGGAATCGAACGTGAGACCTCCGCGTCGTGAATGCGAGGCGTTAACCACTGAGTCACCAATAAATACCTCCTTGAGCATTCAAACAGCAAGCTATCTATATCTACCACTTACCACTGTTGGCCGGCATATCAGGGGGGGAGGGGGACTATCGTGTTTTTAGCATTATCAGAAGATGGCGCAGTGAGCGCGCGGCGGCTCTCATCTCTCACGCGTACTTTGGCCCGCGTAGAGAATAAGGGGGTGCATGCTCGATCGCGCGCATTTATCTTGCAGTGGGGAGGATCGTATACATCTTGGCTAGCCTTTGGGTTTTGCCTGAACGATTCAGTTGTAGTTAACGAACGCATAAAGGTCACTGCAATCGTTGCACAGCTCCGTTTGTGAAAAGGTCATTCTTTTCAGACGCAGCGAAGTAACAACTGAGACACTTATTCGCGTTCATCTGTACCTGTGAGTATGTTTCGTGCGTCATTTGTGCGTGAAAAACGCGGGGCACGTTTCAGTCTGCTTGCCATTCTGTGCTTGACCTTCCAAATTGTTGCTCGCGTTCATTGCTTCGCCTTTGCGGCAGAGCTGTGACTTTTTTATTCCTGTCTTCTTCCTATCTCATTTGTCCACATACTTGCCACGATAGATTTCTAACATTCCGTTATCTACCATCGACATTGTTTTGTGTATTAGTTATCTTTTTTCGCAGCCGCTGGGGACTGAGGGCCGTGAGTTCATTGACGTATGCATGTAGGAGCAACTGACCATGGCTGCGGTCAGATCTGCCGCGCAGCAGAGTGTGTGTGCTAAGAATCTCTGGATCCGGACAAGCCGCCACTGGAACCTGAACTTGGCAACGTTTAACGCTAGAACCTTATCTAATGAGGCAAGTCTAGCTGTACTATTCGAGAAGCTAGAGGGCATGAAATGGGATGTAATAGGGCTCAGTGAGGTTAGGAGGACAGATGAGGCCTATACAGTGCTACAGAACGGGTACGTCCTTTGCTATCGGGGTTTGGCTGACAGAAGAGAACTGGGAGTGGGGTTCCTTATCCACAGAAACATAGATGGCAACATTGACTGATATGTGGGGTTTAACGTCCCAAAACCACCATATGATTATGAGAGACGCCGTAGTGGAGGGCTCCGGAAATTTCGACCGCCTGGGGTTCTTTAACGTGCACCCAAATCTGAGCACACGGGCCTACAACATTTCCGCCTCTATCGGAAATGCAGCCGCCGCAGCTGGGATTCGATCCCGCGACCTGCGGGTCAGCAGCCGAGTACCTTAGCCACTAGACCACCACGGCGGGGCTAGATGGCAACATTGAAGAATACTATAGCAATAATGAAAGGGTGGTAGGTACCGTAATTAATCTCAATAATAGATACAAGATGAAGGTGGTACAGGCTTATGCACCTACATCCAGCCATGCTGACGCGTCAGTTGAAAGCTTCTATATATATGAAAACGTGGAATTGGCAATGAGTAAAGTAAAAACACAGTATACTATATTGATGGGAGACTTCAATGCAAAGGGAGGGAAGAAACAGGCTGGAGACCAAGCAGTAGGAGATCATGGCATCGGTACTAGAAATGCCAGAGGGGAGCTACTAGTAGAATTTGCAGAACGCAATAATTTACGGATTTTGAATACCTTCTACCGAAAACGAGGAAACCGTAAGTGGACATGGAGGAACCTTAATGGCGAAAATAAGAACGAAATAGACTTTATAGTGAGTGCACACCCAAGCATCGTATAGGATGTGGAAGTGCTTAGCAAGGTACGATGCAGTGACCATAGAATGGTACGGTCCCAAATTCGCCTAGACTTGAAGAAGGAACGACTGAAACTGATACGCAAGAAGCCAATCAATGAGCTAGCACTGAAAGGGAAAGTACAGGAATTCAGAGTCTCACTTCAGAACAGGTACTTGGCTCTTATCGAGGAAAACAGCCTTAGCGCTGACGTAATGAATGATAATCTACCGATTATCATTAGGGAGTGTGCAGTGGAAGTTGGAGGTACTGTAGTTAGATGGGACACTGGAAAGCTGTTCCAGGAAACAAAGAATCTCATTAAGAAGCGTCAAAGCATGAAAGCCTCAAATACAACAGACAAAATAGAGTTAGTAGAGCTTTCGAAGTTGATTAATAAGTGTAAGGTATCCGATGTAAGAAGGTATAACATGGAGAGAATTTAGCACGCTCTGAAGAACGGAGGAAGCGTCAAAGCAGTGATGAGGAAACTTGGGCTAGGGAAAAACCAGATGTAATGACACTAAGGCACAAGGAAGGCAAAGTTACTACCAGTGTGGATAGGATAATAAAATTAGCGGAGGAGTTTTACAGATAACTGCATAGTAGCCAGCACAACCACGACCTTAATATAAGAACTAGTAGTAACCCAGATGACACCCCACCAGTAATAAAATAATAAGTCAGAAAAGCCTTGGAGAGCATGCAGAGAAGCAAAGCTGCTGTTGAGGATCAGGTAACATCAGATCTGCTGAAAGATGGAGGACAGATTGTGTTAAAAAAACTAGCGACCCTATTTACGAGGTTTCTCTTGACGGGAAGAGTAACAGAATTCGAAGAATGCTAGCATCATCCCCAATGCTATTTGCCGCGTGCTTACAGGAGGTTTTCAGAGGCCTAGAATGGGAACAGTTAGGCATAAAAGTTAATGGAGAGTACCTTAGTAACCTGTGCTTCGCCTACGATATTCCATTGCTGAGTAACTCGGGGGACGAATCGGAACTCATGATTACTGAGTTAGGCAAGGAGAGCAGAAAAGTAGGTCTTAAAATTAATCAGCAGAAACGAAAGTAATGTACAATAACCTCGGAAAAGAACAGCGCTTCGAGATAGGTAATAGTGCACTTGAAGCTGTCAAAGACTATGTGTACTTAGGACGGATAATAACCGCGGAGCCGAACCACGAGAATGATGTAACTAGAATAAGAAGAATGGGGTGGAGCACATTTGGCAAGCACTCTCAAATCATGACAGGTAGATTGCCACTATCCCTCAAGAGAAAGGTACATAACAGCTGCATCTTTCCGGTACTTAGCTATGCAGCAGAAACCTGGAGACTTACAAAAAGGGTTCAGCTTAAATTGAGGACGACACAGCGAGCAACGGAAAGGAAAATGGTAGGTGTAACCTTAAGAGACAAGAAGAGAGCAGAGTGGATTACGGAACAAACCGAGGTTAAGGATATCATAGTTGAAATCAAGAAGAGGAAATGGACATGGGCCGGGCATGTAGCACATAGACAGGATAACCACTGGTTATTAAGGGTAACTAACTGGATTCCTATAGAGAAGGCAAGCGGGTTAGGGGGAGAAAGAAGGTTAGGTGGGCAGATGAGTTTAAGAACTTTTCGTGTATAAAGTGGCAGCAGCAAGCACATGACCGAGTTGACTGGCGGAACATGGGAGAGGTCTTTGTCCTGCAGTGGACGTAGTCAGGCTGATGATGATGGTGATGATGATAATCCTTTATTACTGTATTTTCAGCCTGTTACTTTCAGACAGTCAGCCCGATTCGTAGCCATACTATATTTTGATACAAAGAAGAAAGAAATTGTCCTGGA